TCTTGTTCGGAAGGTTCTGGCCTTCGGGTTGGAGCCAAGTGGGTTTTTGCTTAATGAGATTGCTTGTGGATATTGTGAGAAGAAGGACTTTGAAGATTTGCTAAGTTTCTTCATCGAAATGAAGTGTGCACCGGATATTCTGACTGGCAATAAGACTGTTCATACACTCTGTTGCATCTTTGGGGTGGACAGAGCAGATTTCTTCATGCAGGAATTGGAGTGTTTAGGTTTCAGACCCGATGAAATAACCTTTGGGATATTGATTGGGTGGAGTTGTCGTGAAGGGAATTTGAGAAGTTCTTTCATTTATCTATCAGAGATTTTTTCAAGAGGCTTAAAGCCTAATGCTCGTTCTTACAGTTCTCTTATAAGTGTGCTGTTTAAAGAGGGTATGTGGAAGCATGCCAACGACATTCTTGATGAGATGGTAAATAATGGCACACATCCTACTTTATCCATTTACAGACTTCTTTTGGCCGGGTATTGTAAAGCTAGGCAATTTGATGAAGCAAGAGTGACTATCTCTGAGATGGCCAAACTTGGTTTCATTGAACTCTCTTCACTGGAGGATCCGCTTTCCAAGGCATTTGAAATTCTGGGGCTCAATCCATTGACTGTGAGATTGAGAAGGGACAATGATGTGGGATTTTCTAAAACAGAATTTTTTGATAATCTTGGGAATGGACTTTATTTAGATACAGATCAGGATGAGTTTGACAAAAGAGTAACTAAGATTCTTGAAGATTCCATGATTCCTGATTTTAACTCTCTTGTAATGGTGGAATGTGCTCATAGAAATTTAAAAGCTGCACAGCTGTTGGTAAATGAAATGGATCAGTGGGGTCAAGAACTGTCTTTGTTCGTCTTCTCAGCATTAGTGAAGGATCTGTGCGCCTCTCGTTCTCATATCAAGGCATGTACCATTCTCTTTGAGAAACTGCCGAAATTGGCTAATCAGCTAGACCATGAAACTCTTAATTTGCTTGTTCAAGCATGCTGCAAGAAGGGATTGGTCCACAATGGGAAGGTAGTCTTTTTCGGAACGCTCCAGAGAAATCTAACCATCAAGAATGAAACTTATACTGCTCTATTAACCGGTTTGTGTAAGAAAGGAATCTTGAGGGACCTCCATGATTGCTGGAATATTGCTATAAATAAGAACTGGTTACCAGGGTTGGAAGATAGTAAAAAACTTGTGGAATGTCTTTGCCATCGGAAAATGCTGAAGGAAGCACTAGTGCTTCTTGAGCACATGCTAGAGTTCTACCCTTATTTAAGGTCAGATATTTGTCATGTGTTCCTGGAGAAGCTTTGTGTTATGGGTTTTTCCACGGCTGCACATGCATTGGTGGAACAACTTTTTCAGCAGGGCTGCAACTTGGGTCAAATGGCTTATAGCCATGTCATAAAAGGATTGTGTGAGGAGAAAAAAATTTCAGTTGCCGTTAAGGTGTTGGACTCTATGTTGGCTAAGAACATGGCCCCTTGCTGGGATGTTTGTCTTATATTAATTCCTCGGTTGCTCAGAGCTGATGGATTTAATAAAGCTATTGCATTACGAGAGATTAGCTTGAAGGAGCAATCTGTGTTATCATTTTCTTTTGAAGGTGCTTTAATAAAAGGATTTTGTATGACAGGGAAGGTTGAAGAAGCATCTAGTGTATTCCAGGATATGTTATCCAAAGGGCTGCCTGCAGAAGCTGAATTATGTAATATGCTGATTGAAGGGCATTGCCAAGTTAACAACACGAGGAAGGTCAGGGAGCTACTTAGTGTCATCATAAGAAAAAAATTAAGCCTCTCAATCTCTTGTTACCGAAATTGTGTTCGCTGGATGTGTATGGAGGGTAGGGTCCCTTGGGCATTTAGCCTGAAGGAGCTCATGCTAGGACAAAACAACACTGATAACCTCGTCATCTATAACATTTTGGTTTTCTATCTTCTCTCGTCGGGGAACAAGTTTCTTGTGAATAAGGTTTTAAATGAATTGGTAGAGAATAGATTGCTGCCTGATGAAGTTACTTACAATTTTCTTGTATATGGATTTTCGAAGTGTAAAGATGTCTCAGGTTCTGTGCAGTATCTTTCTACTATGATTTCAGAGGGACTTAAACCAAGCAATCGCAGCTTAAGAACAGTTATAAGCTGCTTGTGTGATGTTGGGGAACTTGGAAAAGCATTGCAGTTGAGTCAAGAAATGATATTAAAAGGCTGGGTTCATGATTCAATCATTCAAAATTCAATTGTTGAGGGTCTTCTTTCTCGCTGGAAGCTTCAAGAAGCAGAACATTTTCTGCATAGTATTGTAGATAAAGGTCTAATCCCCAATACCATCAATTACGATAGGCTAATTAAACGCTTTTGCGGGTATGGAAGACTGAACAAGGCAGTTGATCTTTTGAACATAATGTTAAAGAAGGGAAATGTCCCCAATTCCGCTAGTTATGATTCTGTAATTCAAGGTTTCTGTACACGCAATAAACTGGACCAAGCTCTGAATTTTCATACTGAGATGTTGGCTAGGGATCTGAAGCCAAGTACGAACACATGGAACACACTTGTCCGTAGATTGTGTCAAGAAGGACATACTGCAGAAGCAGAAAAGCTCTTGATTTCAATGATTCATATAGGCGAAACTCCAACCAGGGAGATGTACTCTTGTGTAGCTAATCGGTATTGCCTGGAAAACAATCTCAAGAAGGCATCAGAGCTCATGCAAGCAATGCAACGAAGCGGTCATAGTCCGGATTTTAGCTCACACTGGTCTCTGATAAGTAACTTAAGCAATTCCAGTGACAAGGCCAGCAGCAATGACAACAGCCAAGGTTTTTTGTCAAGGCTTCTTTCTGGAAGTGGATTTTCATGGAGAAAGGACTCCAAAACCAAACTAGGTTGATACTGCAACATAATGATTGAGCTTCTTATCTTTATTAATTGATTTTTTTCATTTTTGTATTTGTGTATTACATCATATAATACTAAACAGGAAAATTGTTCCTCTAGCTAGCCAGTATAGAAAACTGATCTCTTGTAGCATGACATGTATACAACTGAAGTGAAATTTTCCTGCTGAAATAAGTATTTCATCTTTGCTTCTATAACCATTTGTTCTTTGTTTTCCTTCCTTCATTAACATTTTCATTTCCATGTAGACACTAACTAGCTCTAGTACTTAAACTTTCATGCCCCACATTGCGGAGTAGCCCTCTGTTTCTTTTCCCCAGTTGACCTCAATAATTTAGTTTACAGCTAACACACTGATTGTTTAGCCCGAGTGTATTTTCAATGGGAATATAATAACTTGAAGACACACCAAATGAACTTTCTGAGCTGCACAGGCTTGATCATCAGAGTTTGAGATTTATTTACCACAGTACTTTCATATAGATGATCAATATTACAGCAGACTTGAAATTTCATGTTACTGAATTGAATTTTTTGAGGTGTGACAGCCCCTCTAATCTAAGAAGCATTTTTTTCTTTTTCTTGCCTACTTTCACATCAAACAAGCTGCATCATTAGCAGAGCCTTAAATCCAGCTTTAATCTTGAATGCTATCCTTAAGAAAAAGATTTTATGTTAAATCACCCTAAAATTAGCAATGTGGCAAACTCCTAATTTTATGTACTTTTCGTCCTTGCGAGATTGTAAGACTTGCCTACCGGGTAGTCAGTCTGCTCCGATAACAATGTCATATCAGGAGTCCAATAAAGTAGATGTGTTGAATGACGCTTGTGTAAAACCAAAAAATAAACAGCCTCTAGAAACTTTAATTTGCAAAGGGATCGTCAAAATAGGTATGAGTCTAAGCGAGATAAACATATCACATCATTGGTAAGTTAGTCTAGTCGAATTGGATCCCATCACATACATATTTATTTCAAAAAAAAAAAAAAAAGTTAATAACGATTGAACCATTAACAATATAATGTGGGATACATTTCAGTAGGGGTAAGCATGAGTAAAGGGTAGAACCGGAACCGACCCCCTTAAGGTTCGGTTCTGATTCTAGAAAACTGGAATCAGGAGTCCCCGAGTCCAGTTTCGATTCTTATAGTATTGGAACTGGGAACCGAAACCGAGGTCCGGATACCCAAGTAGGAACCGAGACTAAATTATAATTTTTGTAAACTATTATGGGTGTATTTGAAATTTTTTTTGGGGGGTATATTGTTATTTTCAAAAAGTAGGGGGGTAACGAATTTACCCTGGTACCCGGAATCGAAACCTATGTTCCAAGTTCCGATTCTAGTTTTATAGGAACAAGAATAGGTCGGTTACAATTCCAATTCTGATTCTTTCAAAAAATACAGGGTATTTAGAACCGATCACCCCTACTTTCAGATCAGTTTAGATATCAACTTTCATGAGATCACGTTCATTAAGCCGTAAATTTTGCAATGTACAGAACTTGAACCTTGTCTTTTTCTCCTTTCCTAATCTCTTTATACTCAAAACAAAAACAAGCTCCATGTGTCATTCTAGATAAACTTCTGATCCCTTTTCAGTTGGGGATAATGACTAAAGTGGATTTGGTTCAATCATAAACCAACTAAATTGCCTATTGTAAATGACACCAGCTGCCACAAAGGCAACTGCCCCATATTCAGGAAGCTCCCTGGAAGCTTCAAACTTGGTAATGGTATATACCATATCTAATGAAGAATGTTAAGGAGATTCTCCCTTCTTGCCTCTCCAAATAGAGTACAACTATGAAAGCCATTTTTTGCCAATTCGGGTTCTGTGGTTTGGTTGAATTAGAACAGCCACTAACATCAAACTTGGTGAAATATTCATAAACAATAGAGCAAGTACAGCAGGTAATCCTTAAAAAAACATAACCCCATAACTTTAGTTAGTACGGTCATGTTACAAGCACGACATTTTCCTAAATTTTGGCTAAAAATATAACCGTCCAAACATTGGCTACATGCATATAAATACCATGAAATACTCCTCCAGCATGCACATTCAAGTTTGTAACATTAAGAACTCTTGAAAACCTTCAAATATTAAGCTCAAAAATTAACTAGTTCAAGAACAAAATGAAGGGAGGTGGTGTTGAGGTTGGTGTGGCAGCCAAGGATTCAACTCAAAGAAATGGGGTGAATAGAGGGGTGTCGATACTTGACTTTATTTTGAGGCTTCTAGGGTTCATTGCAACACTAGGAAGTGCAATTGCCATGGCAACAACTAATGAATCACTTCCTTTTTTCACACAGTTTATTCGGTTCCGGGCTGAGTATGATGATCTTCCCACATTCACGTATGTTGTTTATGATCGTTGAGTTGAGTTGATTATGCTAGCTAAAATGTGATAGAAATCTGTAGACTGATCTTAGGTAACTCTCTTTTGAACAGGTTTTTTGTGATTGCTAATGCCATTGTTAGTGGCTACCTGATTCTGTCTCTCCCTTTTTCAATCATCCATATTGTGAGAAGCAAGGCTCAAAAGACTAGAATTTTGTTGATTTTCTTTGACACAGTAAGTTCACTTTAAGCTGAGTTTACTATCGTCTTCCTACCTCTAGTAAATGAATTTGCAATGTTGAAGCTTATTCAGTGTAATGTAAAATGAGTATTCCAATGATGTAGGCAATGCTTGGTCTTTTGACTGCGGGAGCCTCAGCAGCAGCAGCTATTGTATACCTAGCACACAAGGGAAACAGAAAAGCAAACTGGTTTGCCATCTGCCAACAGTTCAACTCCTTCTGCGAGCGCATTTCTGGTTCTTTGATTGGTTCTTTTGTAGGAGTCGTGTTGTTTATTCTGATAATCTTGTCGTCTGGTGTGGCGCTTTCACGACGTTGATATGTCATGCTACTTTCCAACAATGCTCTTGTGATCACTGCACTCCTCCCTGTATGTGTGTGTTTGTGTCTCTGTTGGTTTGTGTTTGCATTATTGACAGTGTATAAAACAGAGCATGACTGTGTTTATCTTTTCTGTAAAGTTGGTTTTCTTTTTTAATGTAATGAATTTGCTGGCTTCCAAGTTCATGGAGATTGATTGAATATTCTATAAACTGACAAACACTAGCACACAAGATTCACTATTCTAACTCAATAATTCAAGATCCATATAATTATCTAATCCCACTTGCATCTGCTTTCTAATAAACAATTGAAGATTTATATAGTGCAACTTTTGCATGTTCACTCTGCAGTACAAATTATGTACTGGCACAAAGTAGGAAGACATATTTTCTTGTATATCAGTGCATAGAAAAATAAATCAAATTACATAAATTATTTCAGCACGTACAAGAAAAAATTTGTGTAATGTTTAGTTACAACACTCCACCAGTGAAATTAAAGTTAATAGCATGGGAGCACTTAGGTTAACTACTTGCAACTCAACGAACTGGGTTTCTCCTATCTAATTTAGGTTTTGAATTAAGCAAATAGTGGGTGAGAGCTTTATCATCAGCTTCGACAAGGCTACGGCCAGGCTCTTTCCATACCCCACTGCCATCCATCAAATTCCTCACCTTCTCAGCCCCATCCCACTCACCTTGTGAAGCATATATGTTGGAAAGTAATACATAGTCGCCACTTTCGTCCCTCCTCAATTTGAGTAGTCTCTCGTTTGCGCGCCTCCCCAATTCAACATTTCCATGAATTTTACAAGCCCCGAGCAGAGTCCTCCAAATAATGGCATTGGGTTTGATCTTCATGTCGTCTATGAACTCAAACGTTTCATTCAATAGCCCAGCACGCCCAAGCAAGTCCACCATACACCCATAATGCCTAATATTTGGCTCAATATTGTATACATCTTGCATAAGCTTAAAATATCTCTTCCCCTCTTCCACTTTACCTGCATGACTGCAAGCAACTAAAACTCCAACAAAAGTGATCTCATTTGGCCTGACTTTCAACCTCTGCATTTCACTAAACAAAGTAATTGATTCCTCGGCATAGCCATGAAAAGCTAACCCTATAATCACTGAATTCCACGTTGAGTCGTCTTTCTCCTTCATCCCATGAAACACTTCCATTGCTCTCTCAATGCTACCACACTTACCATACATGTCTATAAGCGCATTCCCAAGTAAAACTTTTATATCCCCCGAACTCACCTCCAAAAGCGCACAATGTATCTTCTTTCCCACTTCAAGATCCCCCATGTCCGCACAAGCAGACAACAAACTCAACATAGTCACTTCATCCGGCCGTTCTCCTACAACCCTCATCTCCTCAAACATCTCCAATGCACATTTATTCAATCCACACATCACATACCCCGAAATCATAGCATTCCAAGTCACAACATCTCTTTTAGGCACCTCATCAAAAAGCGCCCTTGCTTGCGCCATTTCTCCTTGCTTTACATACCCAGTAATCATCACATTCCAAGAAACCAAGTCCTTAACCGGCATTGCATCGAAAAGACTTCTTGCCACACTTAACTCTCCTCTTCTTGCATATCCTGCAGTCAAAGCAGACCAAGCAACAACATCCCTTTCCTCAGAAGCATCAAATATACCCCTCGCGACACTCAAATCACCACAATTAGCATGAAAATAAATAAGGGTATTCCTCTCAAATTTATTAAACTCAAACCCGTGTTTAACAACCTTTCCATGAACACAAAACCCCATGTTTCTAAACAAAACCCTAGTACAGGCTTTAAGCACAAAAGAAAAAGTAAAATTATCAGGCTTTATACAACATTTCTCCATCTGGGTATATAACAAAATTGCATTTAATGGGTTTAGGCTCTGAGCTGAGCCTCGAATCATAGTGTTATACATGAAGGTATCCGGTTCAGTAATTTGAGTAAACACTTTGTGGGCATAATTCATTGCACCTGAAACAACCATAGCACTGCAAAAAATGAGCTCTCTTAAGGCTGAGGGATTCGAATTGAATCCATTGATAATCATAAATGCGTGAATTTGTTTTAAAGTCCGGAGATTTGTGCATTTTCGCCACAAACTTGAGCTTTGTTGGCGGTTTGTTCTTCTTCGTATCATTACATAGTACTTTTCGATCTTATTTTCTTAAGCCTGGGCCCTTTAAATACTCTTCATTATACAAAATTATGTAAATGTAATGGGCCGCAAGCCCAATTAAAAATTCTCATAATTAATGGGATTAATAAAAATAAATAAATAAATTTTGTATTTATTTTTCAAGAACTTTTGACAAGTATGATAAAAATAATCTTAAAATTATAATTTAATAATTTTTTTCAAGAAAAATGAAAATTATTTACTTTCTCAAATAATAAAACTATATTTCATGAGGTTTATAAGTGTTTTGACATATTATTTATGATAATATAATTAATTTCTCTCTTCATAAAATAAATATTACCCGTTCATGGGTAGCCCAGCGATAAAGACGAACCAAGGGGGTTGTGGTACCTTTGCCCATGACTAGAGATGGCAATGACTCCTTGTTGGCGGCTCCTTCTTTGGATCTCTCCAAGTTATTGTTATTGACCCAACGTAGGATCGAGCTCGACGGTTTCCACACGAAAGTAGGCTCGGGATAACCCAAGGATTGATTGTTATACCAATCAAATGGCTTAAGGGAGGTGGTGGAATTTAGAGAGAGAAATTCTCTCTAGGGTTGGCGGCGGCTAGGGTTTTGGGAGAATTATTTTTGCTATTCAATTTTGCAAAAACAACTTATGAGAATCTCATCAAATCAAAACCCTTTATATAAGCAATCCCAAATAACAATCTAATAAGGATTGTAAATCCTTAATTCCTATTTGGATTGGATTACAATCTAGAGATGACAATGGGCCTGATATTTCCAGGTACCCGACTCGGCATGGCCAGAAAAGGTCAGGCTTTACCCGATGTTCGCGGGCTTGGGCCTGATTTTAAGGCCCGACCTTGGGTACGGGCTGGGCCTGGGTATGTCTTCAGGCCAAGCCCGGCCCGGCTCGATAATTTTAGTATTAGTTATACTAAATTACCCTTATATTATATATTTAATTACAAGATTATCCTACATATATATACTCATTTTTCCCAAACCCTACATGGATGGATGGATGCACTTTATGGAAAGTTATTGATATATTTGGTGAGTATTCAAAAATAAATTAATATTTAAAAATTGTTTATAGAATTAAAAATATATAAAAAATTGAAATTTATTAATATTAAAAAATTCACATTATAAAAATGGGCGGGCTTGGGCTTGGGCTAGGCCTGAGGTTACAAAAAGCCCATCGGGCCAGGCTTGGACTTTACTTGTGATACCTGTGACGGGCTCGGGCTGGGCTTGGGCCTGGGCCAAGGGATACCCGGTCCCGGCCCGGCCCATTGCCATCACTATTACAATTTTTTAATTTCTATTTGAATTGGATTGCAATACTTAAATATAAATCCTAATTAAGTAAATATCTCTATTTATTTAATTCCTATATAAATACATATTATAATTATATATATATATATATATAGGGGTTTTAATACATATTTAATTAAATTAAATATATATATTCTCCATATTAATTAAAATTAATATGATTCCAGTTTTGTTAAAAATTCTCCCAATAAATTGGATAATGACGTCAACCCCTTAGCAAAATTACCAAAGTGTCTTTTTCGCCCATAATGACGAAAATGCCCTTGACTCCCAAATTACTGAAATACCCTTTTCGGCCCAAGGACAAGACTGTCCTTCCATTTCTGTTTCTCACTTAACTATTTTCTATGTGTGTGATCTGAAGACTCTTTACTTTGCTGGCAGTGTCCCGATAACTAATTAAGCATTAACCAATTAATGTTTTTGTACACCAATCAAGATTGGTCTCTAGCAAGGCATCATGATTCCTCGGTAAGTAAAGAATCAGCAATTTAGGCTTACCTTTTTTACAGTATGGTTACCATGCAATTTGATCCATTTCATCATCTTATATCTCATCAAGGTTTGAAGTACAGAAATAGTGTCTACTTCAAAACATCTACCTTGACATGTTTTATATTTGGTTCTCGAATCTTACAACTATAAAATTGGATTCGAGCATCAACTCGATTCCACTGTGGCCACGGATTTGAGGTCGTAGTTCTTAACCAAATCTCTTGCCGAAATAAGATCTCCTGTAACCAAGAGTGACGAATCCTTTGTTGATCCACCATAGCCATAGTGTACTTCTTGATGTAACCAATCACCACCATTCTAGTAATCCCTAAAAGAGATGACATTGGGTTGGTGTCAAATCACATCGATATTTACACACGACACTCTGGTGATCTTAAGCCTAGTTAGTAAAAACGCGTATTATACGCAAATTATACAAACAGTCGTATAATTCGCGTATAAAACGCACGTATACGTATTTTATAAAATCTGCCGTATAATTCGCGTATAATAAGGGTTTCCGTATAATTCGCGTATAATTCGCGAATGATTCGCGAATTTTTGAAAAAAAAAAAAAACAAAATCTCACACCCCCAAAACGACGTCGTTTTGGTGGGTTTATACAAAAAAATTAAAACAGATCTGGTTCAATTGTTCTTCTTCAGTTCTTCGGTAGTCAGCAGCAGTTCTTCTTCCTCAGTTCGGTTCTTCTTCTTCCTCAGTTCTTCTTCAGCTTTTCTGTAATATCCCACTTGAGGTATGTATTTAAGATTTTCTATATTACTTAAAGGATTCATTGTTTCAGTTTCAATTGAGTTTGTTTGTTGTCATGGTTGGTTTGGTTGAAATTTAATGAAGTTTGGAAATTCAAGCTTCGTCGGGGCGAAGAAGAAGTTTCGCCACGGTGATGAGAAGCTGCACCCACAGGTAGACTCTGCCGTGTTTTGCCGCGGCGAAGAGCCTAACAAAAAGTTTCTTGAGTTTTCTAGAGAATTCTTCTTTTGGGGCACAATGACCTTTTTACCCCTAATTAGTAGGAAAAGTAGGGAGTAAAATGTAAGGAAATTTAGTAGAGATTGTGGTTGGATGGGGGTGTATTTGTAAAGAATCAAAGGATATAGATGAAATTTCTAAGGAAGGGGAAGGGCAAGGGCAAGGGCAAAATGGGAAAGGATGATTATAATATGAGCTAAAAAGGGTTAAGTGTAGAGAAACCCTTTAGTCCATCCATTTCCACCGCCTCTTCCATTGCCTACTTTCTTTCAATTTCTCCATCCAATCTTCCAAGATTTCTAAGGGGTTTAAGAGAGCTTTTGAGTAATTTTGAGTAGAGATTTCATCTAAAGCATCCTAAGGTAAGGATTCTTGCTTTAGATGTGAGTTTGCTTATAGTTATATTGAAGTCTTATTTGGTTGTTATTGCTTTTGTTGTTGTTTTGAGTTGTAGTGAGAACACAAGACAACAAAGGAAAGGAAAAGTGCTAAAGAAGTCACTTTTTCACAAGGTAAGTAAATCCAACCAACTTGAGTTTTGAATAAGCTTTTGAGTAGAGATTTAGAGATTGAGTAGAGATGTATGCTTGTATAAGTATGTTATGTTGTTGAGAATTGAGTTGAGATGAATATGTATTATGAGAAGTGTTTTTGATGTGTATGAATAAAAGTGAAAAATATTGAAACAATCGGAGCCTACATTTTTTTTTTTTTTTTTTTTTGGCGAGTAGTACTGACAAAAGAAAAGAATGTAGCTTTCACTTTTATGTAATGTTTTGAACTATTAAAAAAATTCACACGAGCTGAACTAAGGGTGTGTTTGGTTCAAGGAATATTTTATTACGGAGAATGTTGATTACTGGAAGATAGATTACCTAGGAATCTTTAGAAAATGTGTTTGGTTGGTTGGTTTAAATTTTGGTATTTTATAATAATATATTGGGTTGGGAGGATAAATGAGTGGTATGTTATATAGATTACTAATTGCCCTCCTTTTTAAATAATAAATAATAATAATTATTAGTTTATTCTATTATTTTTAAAATTATTTCTTTTAACCCCTTTATTTGATTTTTTGCTAAAACAACCAGCCATATAAAACTTTAATTTATAGCAAATCAACCCCACCCGCCCCAAGTCACTGCCGACACCAGCCACCACCCACCAACGCCGCCGTAATGTCTCACAATCGGCCAATCTGGTTGGTCGTGCCCGGTAAGGCCTAATCCGCCATGGGGCTAGATCTGGCCGTTCACGACCTAAGAGTAGCCGTGAAACAGCGCATTTCACGACCAAGATCTGGCTTTTCACGACCAGATCTATGGCATTTCACGACCACATCTATGCTGTGAAACACCAGATTTGTCATTTTCGGGAAACATCTTACCGGCACACGACTGGCAATATCTCGTCGATCTTGCCTCGAGATGACAACTTTCATCGACGACGAACATGGTGCTAGCAGCAGTGGTGGTCTTGGGTGGCTGAGGGTATTTTGTTAACTTTTAAACTTTTTTATGGCTGTGGTGTTTAGCTAATTTTCAAATGTAGGGGTCTAGGTAATTGTTATTTGGTAGACATTAAGGGCAATGTTTCCTAAATGATAAAAGATTAAGGGTAAAATAGGGTCAAAATTAAGATTACCTCGGTATCTATATTAACACCCCTTAAGAAGGTATCTGATTACCCCCAATATTACTATAGTAAACATTATTTGTAATAAAAGTTACATATTTAGTACTTGATAACCAAATGAGAAAATCTGAAAATCAAACAAAGATTATAGGATTAATCTTATATCACCCCGAACCAAACACAACCTAAAAGTTATCATAAAAAGTTTCTTTCTTTCATTAATTAAGTTTAATGAGAGTAAGATTTTTTTTCTCTTTGTCAAATATAGGACTGTATAATTGGCTTCTTTGATAGACGAATCTGATTATTGTAGGTTACTAATACCTCCTGATCATATGCAATGCTTTAGCGATGCTGCAGTCCGTCTTCAAGAATCAAGTAAATGAATGATTTAGTTAAATTTAATGCAGTATATTTTATCTGTAGGAAGGATTCATAGTTAGCATGGTTTTTTAGGATTACTCTTATTCAATTTAAGTTGTTGTAGAATATGATAGATGTAAGCGAGATGGGATAACAAGAA